TGTGTGTGTGTGTGTGTGTGTGTGTGTGTGTGTGTGTGTGTGTGTGTGTGTGTGTGTGTGTACACGAGAGGGAGAGCGAGCAAAGAACAACTATCAGGTATAAATGTTGCAATCTGATTAGTTGTGTTTTGGAAACTTTCCCATATTTCAGTACACTGCACAAATATAATGCTAGGGAGTTTGAATAAAACCCATTTTTCTAACTTGTTGCTCATTTGTTGTAACTCAATAAACAAAGGCTAAACATGTTTTGTAACCTTTTCCGCTTCTCTCTCTCTCTTTTTTTTTTTTAAATGTGTGTTGCACATGGGAGCTAAGTGCCTACTTCATTGATTCTCAGCCAGGGTGCCATGGCACCCTGAGGTGCCTTGAGATCCTTTCAAGGGTGTCACACAATATTAGCACTGCCATGTTCGCAAACATGATTCACAAGATGAACCCGGAGATTTCAAACAGAAATACGTAGCCATGGTCATTCTGAGTTCTTTGCAGCAAAGAAACTGCTCTATTATTTTTCTCTAGTCAAAAAAGGAGTGAAAACTAAGAGTTCGCATTTTCCAAGGGGTGTCTCAAGTCTAAAAGTTGAAAAGCTCTGCCTTAGAAACATGCCTACACACACAACAAAATGGTCCCCCCACCAACATTTTCAATGCTAAAATCTCTTGTAGTTGTAAACTGTGCAAAAAAAGACCCCAATTACAATACTTGGGTCCTTTCAGATAAAGAAAACAGATGTAGTAACAATTTTTGTCCATAATCTCCAACTCCACAGAAAAGAGGTTGATGTTTTCTTTAATGTATCACTATTGTAGCCCCGTTGGAGTCTATACACAGGTACATTCCACCATTTACTGCAAGCTGGCTTTTAGCATTGAAGATGTCACATAAAGATCTGATTCTTCACTAATAGAAAGGTAAATGTTGCACATTTAGGACCTTGGCAGGCATTAGTTTAATTGCATGATCAGGATCTTACAAAATTTGTCCTGCCATGTCACACATGCATGGCAGGATAAGCAATTTTGGGGGTCTGGGATAAAATTTGTCAGATCCCAATCGTGACAGGTGAATGGGGAGCCCAACATCATGGACCAAGTCCCCAGTGCTGGGCTTCCTGCTCATCCAGGTGTTCAGAAGATACCACGGGAAGTGTGGCACCAGAAACTGGTCCCTGCTGACATGCTTCCAGCAGTACCCTTTTAACCAGCTGATGAGCGAAGCCTGGGGTGGGTGAAATAGGCCCGCAAGCCATAGCTGGCCTGCCAGTTGATCCCATCTACCCTGCCAGCTGCTGCCAGGAGCCTGAGGAGGGAAGGCTGAGCCCCGCTCTGCCACAGCTGGGGCTGGGCCTGGCTGCAAAGTATGCAGACTCTCCATTCTCATTTTGTCTGTTGCAAAGAGGTCAGACCACAGCAGGGCAGGATTTTTTTAACACACCTTGCAGCACTCTTGAAAGGATCTCATGGCTTCGTCTTGCTTACTTAATAGCATGAAGAATATTGACACAATATTGAAACAAAGCTGCTTATAAAAAGCTTTTGTCAGAAAGAAAGATGAGAGGGCAAATGTTAAGCCTTCCAACACGCTAAGATTGGGAGAGGTAACTTCACATGCTGTGTCACTACTCATAATGGGTTACTGGTCATATGCTGCATCTTAAAGGTCAGCTATACAAAATATTCAATGTGCAGACAGGTTAAAGTACCCTTGTCAAGTTCTTTAAACTTTTAAACTTGGAAAACTGCTTTGGATTCCTTTTTTTACTTAAAATGGATTTTTTGCATATTCCGGGTCAGGAAGTACTTCATTTCTCTCATAGATAATGGAGCAATTTTACCAAGGAAGTATTTCATGCAGGCTTTTTCTTTAATTCTTCAGTAGATAATGAAACTCTAAATTCCCTTTTGTGAGACAGCAAGTACCAAGGGCTGATAGGAACATCAAGCGTTCTGCCTAGTACTGACATCCTGAGAGTATTCACATTTGGGATGTTCAGCTGGAACCATCTTGTCACAGACTAATGAAAAGTCTCAGCTGCCATCAAAATCTGTCATTTGCTTAAAGTACAAAGCAGGTTTCGAGTTACAGCAGTTTGCTTCTATTTAGACAAGTCTAAGAGTGGACAGGTGTAAGTTATATTGGAACAGCTTATCCCAGTATAACTGTTAATGATATCCTGCATGTTGATTTGTTTTCTACAGTGGTGAAAATTGGTGTAACAGCAACCTATTAGGACTGTGTGAAGCTTTGGGTGGTAATTTGACTCGGAGGAGATTCGGCAGCCGAATCTCTGAATCCAAATCAAATCAGGTGACCAATTTAAAGGTCCGAATCGATTCAAAGCTCATGGATGAATATTGAACTTTTGTTGTCAAAGCACAACTACCAGTGACTGCAGCTGCAGGTATGAGTGCTAATCATGCATAGCATATCCCAGGATTTCAAGTCAGGTACCTAGTTAGAGAGATTACCTATCAGAAGTCTCTTCTAAGTCACTTGACTAGCATCCCACAGGGACCATTGGTAAAATTGGGCATACAATGCGATCCTTCAGAGAAGTATGAACCATAGCCCCTTGTTTCTCTTCCTACTATCCTGTGTTCATTCATGACAGACCTAGGCCTATTCCTATAAGGAACACCAACAAACCTACATGACTTCCTTCTGTAGCAAATAAAGCTGATGAGAGTGAATATAGGATCCTCCTTATGGCAGCAGGAACCTAGACTGATCCAGTTCTTCATTCTAGGCAGCTTCTGTTCCTATCCTCTCCTGCATATTGAGGTTCTGGAAGGGAGCATGCCCTAGCATACTGAAATTCTCCTTTCTGTTCACAAGTTCAAACCCATCTGCACCACCCTTTCCAGCTTCTCATCCCAGTTCAGTTCTCCTTACCTAACTGTTCTTAGACTTCTCTTCCCACTCCTGGGTTTCTTTCCTAGCCATTTCCAGTTCTTTCCCCTACCCTGGCTCTTGGACAGGCTCCAGCCTTCTTCCACATACCTTTTCTCCCCTCTACTGCTAAATAAGGCAGTTTGAGCTCCCTTGAAGGATCAGTGAGTGCATAGGACAGAGGGAAAAGATTTTGTGTGGAGGAGAGAGAAGGGTGATGTGGAGCTGTTAGAGTTTCCACCAGAAGGAACCAGGGTCAGCCCTGGGCTGCTGGAAGACTTTCCTCCCCTGTGGTAAAGGATAAAGGGTCCAGAGATGCAGGAGAGAGTAGGAGCTTCTGAGCCACAACTGGGAGAGGAGAAAGGCAGCAACTGCAGTATGGTAGGAAGGATCTTCCCAGCAGTAACTGAGGAAGGAGTAAGTGAGCTGCCTCTTACACCATTGTTATGAAGGATATTATAACAGGTCGCCCTCCCCAGCACCATCTTCCCTGTTATCCATGCCTTACACGGGGTGCCCTTGAAGTCCCCTTTAAGGTTCTTGTGTCCCATTCTCTACGCTCCTGCCACGTCTTGATGGAAATTATTATACTGATGTTCTTGTAAGCAGGAGACTGCCTATTGTATTTCGTATGTTGGGGTCTTCTGCCTCCACGGACCTTGACTCCTGTCTTTCTCTAGCTAGGCCTTCCTGTCTAAACCCACCAAACAGGCACTAGCCTGAGGCACTAGCCTTTGTTCCCTTGTCTCAAGGCTTGTGGCCCTACTTTCTGCTCCAATCTGGAGCCTGGCCACCGGCCTTATAGCCAGGGAGTCGCAAGTACAAGGCCAGGGAGTGGCCTTGAACTTGCTGTCCCAGTTCAAACAAAACAAAATTGCACCTCAGGTGCACCAGACCACCCTGGCCTTTTAGGATCATGCCCTCTGGCACTGTAGCCTGTACACCCTAAAATCCTGGGCCCACATTGGCACTGGGGCCTATGTACCCTAAATACTGCGCCTTCTCTGGCACCGGGGTTAGTGCACCCCAAATCCTGCGCCCACACTGGCACTGGTCCCCACACTATAGTGGGGTCCCAATGAAGCCGCCTCCTTCCCCAATATCCTTGCCCAAACCACTGATGTTATTCAGTAACAAAAAAAACAGGAACAGTCCTGTCCATAGGCAATAACCACCACCAAGAAAAATGTGATTAAAGAAGGCAGCATGCTGGCTTACATTTACGCAGGGTTCGTGCTTCAGCTCCCCACTGTCAGCTACAGTCCTTCCTCTGGGGTTGCTGCCGTCTCTCCGGGGTCCTCCGTAGTTCCCCTCCTCCAGCCTTTGGACTGCTCACCAATCCTCTCCAGGGAGCTCTGAGACACACGCCTTCCCCTTCGGCTGCTGCTGCACAGCCCTGGGTTTTTATAGTCCTGGCCTGCCCCTTCCAGTCAGCTTACTAGCTGGCCCGGCTCAGTTTTTAACCCCCGCCTTACCAGCACTCTGTGCACAGAAAGTTCTGGCCTTAAAGGGGCCGACCAGTCTTCTGGTGACAGGGCTAGGGTTCCCTGTTACAGATATCCTCTTGTACAGGGGTGGACAAATATGGCCTGCAGGCCGAATACAGCTGGCAAGTCCATTTTATCCAGCCCACAGGGCCCTAAAAGATTCAGAAAATATTTATCTGCCCTTGGTTCCTGTCAAAAATGACAGAAACCAGGGGCAGCAAGACCCAGGGGAAGCCCTGGTGGGCTCCTGCAACACCAGGGCCCACCCAGACCTGCCCCTCCCCAGTCAGAAGCCCCAGATAGGGCTTCTCACCTGGGACCATTCGGCTGCCCCAGCACGGAAAGCTTAGGTAAGGGTGGGGGGAAGGGCAGGGAAGCGAAGGACCCCAGGCAGGGAGGGAACCCGGCGAAAAGCTGAGCGCGGGGAAAAGTGACCCCTTGCCCACCCAGTGGTTGGCATACCATGCTGCAGCTGCTTGCAGCCCACTCAGGGCTGTCCTGAGCAGGTACAGGCAGCCCCAGGTGGGCTGCAAGTGGCTGCAGCACGGGGCACCGGCCAT